CCTGTCTCTCTCTATCTGTCTCTCTCACCTGTCTCTCTCTACCTGTCTCTCTCTACCTGTCTCTCTCTCACCTGTCTCTCTCCCCTATCTCTCTCTACCCGTCTCTCTCTACCTGTGTCTCTCACCTGTCTCTCTCTACCTGTCTCTCTCTACCTGTCTCTCTCCCCTGTCTCTCTCTACCTGTCTCTTCCTTTCTCTCTCTCTCCGTGATGTGTGGGCTCCTGTTCTGCATATAACCTTCAGAACACACACTCCGCCGGCTGCACACACTGCCACTGCTTCGGAGTGTCTGACGTGGACACACACACACACACACACACACACACACACACACACACACACACACACACACACACACACACACACACACACACACACACACACACACACACACACTCCCCTGTCTCTCTCTACCTGTCTCTCTCCCCTGTCTCTCTCTACCTGTCTCTCTCACCTGTCTCTCTCTACCTGTCTCTCTCCACCTGTCTCTCTCACCTGTCTCTCTCTCACCACACACACAGACACACACATTGTTGTTGGTATTTGTATTATATTTGTTATTCATTTGATTAATATTATATTATTACACACACAAAATATTATATATATATATATATATATATATCTTTGTATTCTCCAGGTGCGTCACACAGTTGGTTGGCTCCGCCCCTCAGAATCCCACCACTCACACGCCGTCGTCCACGGCAACGACCTCCCCGCCCCCAAAAACTCCTCAGGACACGCCCCCCACCAGCTGCTGACGTGGGCGGCGCCCGACAGTTTCCTCGGCAACAAGGTCAGCTGTTTACCTGTCTGTCTGACTTCCTGTCTACCTGTCTGTCTGACTTCCTGTCTACCTGTCTTCCTGATTCCTGTCTACCTGTCTGTCTGACTTCCTGTCTACCTGTCTGTCTGCAGCTGCTGTCTTACGGAGGGTTCCTGAACCTCTCTCTGTTCTACGACGTCCCATTGGACAACGAGGACCACTCTCTGCCCGCCCACTGTGACATCATCCTGGAGGTGAGGAAGCATTTAATTGGTTTGTAGTTTGTAGTCTAATTTCTAATAAGAACTACAAACATGTCTTCTCCTCTCGTCTCCAGGGTAACAGCCGTTCTCTCCGCCTCTCGCCCCCCCCTCACCTCTTCCTGTCCGAGCTGTCCGAGCGCTCCGTTGCCGTGGCGATGTCACCGCGGCAGTTCATCGACATGGAGACGGGCGCCATGGTTACCAGGGACGACCTGCTGACAGCGCTCGCCAACGTGACATCATTGAGGGTCAGAGTTCACCTGAACAACTCAGCAGAAGGACCCATACGGTAATTACTATCACTCTGATTATCAGGACTCTTAAAGGGCCGGTACTCTCTTAAAGACTCTTAAAGGGCCGGTACGCTCTCAACCTATTAATATAGACCCCAAGCCTGTTTTTCAGGCCTCAGGCTCGAAGATGACATTCCCAGAACAAATGACCATATCTTCCCTTCTAAAAGTTGTAAATTAATAATCTTTTTTCTCAAAGCAATGATAAACCTGTGAGTTGGATGTAGAAGAGTCAGAATCAATATAGATGTTTTTATTTTAAAGTAAATTCAGATTGAAAATCATAAAAAAATGTAAGTTATAGTGTCCGTCCAAAACCATTACTTGTAGTAAAAAACACCCTTGAATGATGGGATAGTAGACTAAAAGCTTTAGGAATCCAAAGTATAACATATAATAAGTACCCTGTATCAAGATTGATGCAAAACAAGTGACATGTGACCTTTTTAGAGAGGTTTAGCAACACTTCTGGGGTCATTTGTGGATTTGCCGTTTCTCTGGCCCCCCTCGTCGATTTTGATGATTGTCGTTTCTTTTTAACCGTTAGAGCCAATAGAATCGAGGGGAAGTTCTTAAATCCACCTACACGTTACCATGAGGAGTGATGTGCACGTAGCTTGCCCAAACCGAAAGCTATGTTACGCTCTGAAAACTGAAAACTAGGTTATAGCCATAAATATGATGATGGATTATCCGTAATCATTTCAAAGTGACACAGAGACATTGGATTAACCTATGGATTAACCTCCAGCTGCGTTTTTATCGTTTTAATGCCGAAGGGCCAGTACACTCTCACTCTCAAAGGGCCGGTACACTCTCAAAGAGCCGGTACACTCTCAAAGGGCCGGTACACTCTCAAAGGGCCGGTACACTCTCAAAGAGCCGGTACACTCTCAAAGGGCCGGTACACTCTCAAAGGGCCGGTACACTCTCAAAGGGCCTGTACACTCTCAAAGGGCCTGTACACTCTCAAAGGGCCGGTACACTCTCAAAGTCTCTACTCTGTCTCTCACCTGTCTCTCTCTCACCTGTGTCTCTCACATGTCTCTCTCTCACCTGTCTCTCTCTACCTGTCTCTCTCTACCTGTCTCCATC